CAACTCCCAGAATTCCCCAGCCAGCATGCTGGGAGTTGAAGTCCACCCACCTTAAAGTTGCCAAGGCTGAAAAACACTGCATTACAAGGACTTAGGGCTGCCAAGAAGAAAACATCTGGGTGGAGTCAACTTGAAGACCAGCTGCTGGGGGAAGCTGGACAAGACTTTCCCATGTTCAGGAAGGATTAAGGAAGATAAGCCTTGCACACTTTGTTTGTGCACTCCAATCATTAAGAATAGCACAATACAGGATGCAAAATGTATTAGGCAGCAGAGCCATTGGGAATTTGGAGAAGGCATTTCAAAGTGTCCACGGGGTCTGCTTAAAAGAGCTGCAGACGGGCGCTCTGTTTGTGGCTCAGGCGCTTCAAAGCTCCTTCCTCACGTTATTTCCAAAGCACAGTCCAGCCCTAAACCAAAGCACTTCCATTTGTTTGATCTCTGCATAGCAGAGCAGATCAAGTGCAGGCTGCCTGGGATGGCTACAGAACTCCCAGAATTCCCTAGGGTTGGTCAGGCTATCTCAGGTTCGTAGGCCCTGTAGTCCAATAGACACACTAGACAATCGACCACTACGGACAATGATCCGTGGAGCACTCTGTATGTGTAAAGATAATGTTAAGAAAGGGAGGGTATAAAATCGATTTTTTTTAACCTGGGAAAAAAATAATGTAGACTTTTTCGATCTGGTTCGCTGCAAGAACAAAGATTCGCTCTTATTTCTCAAGTGTGGCTCATGGATTTCGTCATCATTACCTTTCAACCTCAGTTTGCACCTCACAATATCCTGTTATTTTCTCCAGTTGTTTTTCGTCCATTTGAGATGGAGACAGATTTACAAACTGAGATGGAAAGATCATGGAAGAAGAAAGCAATTGTCATATCGGTGGTCATCGGAGTTCTTGGTGCAATACCAAAAGGATTCGCCAAATATGTAGATGTCAGTCTCTCTAGGTAGACCAAACCTAAACATTAATTCCATCGGAAGGCTAAACTTCTTTTACTAAGGTTGGCAAGAATATCAGAATCTTGCAAGTCTGATTTTGCTGTACTTCCGGCTTCTTCTTGTAGCTCAGTGAATTAGAGAGGGGGTCTGTCCAATCTACTTCCGAATATTATCTGTCTGCGGTGGACTTAAAATATGTTTCGCCCCACCTCGCCCTGGTAACAGATCTTGTGTATCTTCATGAAGGTCATCTTCCTTATCTCTACAATAGAATCGCTAAACTTACTGGAGTAGGCCCCACTCATTTTGCAAAATATGACTATCCTTGGAACAGCATACATTTTACGGCAATATCTCTGTGGTTCCCAAGTCCTTGGTTGGGACCTGAATCATTAGAGTTGACACCTAGTCAGTTAGACTGTGATATTTCTTGGGATGAATCAGAATGATGATAATATTGAACTTCTTCTATGTGTGTGTGTGTGCGCTTGTGCGTGTGTGTGTATGTGTGTGTGTGTGTAGAGCAGTGTTTCTCAACCTTGGCAACCTTGGCATGGGTGGCTGGGGAATTCTGGGAGTTGAAGTCCACACATCTTCAAGTCGCCAAGGTTGAGAAACACCGATGTAAAGTAAGGAAGATGACCTTGATGGAAATATGCAAGAGCTTCTCCCTAGGCATAAGGGGCTGAAGCATTTTTTAAGTCCAGAGCGTGAGATAACATTTGGAGGTGCCTCCAGAAGATACCTCCCTAATTCACTGAACTATCAGAAGGGGAGGGGGAGGAGATTCAGCACAATCAGACTTGCAAGATTGTGTTATTATAGCCCATATCCAGAAAAATAGTTTTAGCCTTCCTGTGAAGCCAGTTTCCAGGTCTGGTCTACCTTGCGGGGCTGACCCTAGATATCTAATTTGATCTAGCTATGAATTTAGGAAAGAAGAAAGGAAGGATGGATATTTGTGGGGTTCATTTATTCAAATGTATATTTATTTATGATTTATGATTTATATGGCCACCCAACTCACACACGGTGACTCTGGGCGGCTTACAGGAGCGATTTACGTGGCTGCCCATCTCACAGGGGTGACTCTGCAGCACCCTTCTCATCCCTCATAACTACAGGATGCACCTGCTCCCTCATCCCATAATATTCTCTCCAAGGGCCAGGCCTCCCCTCCCTCTTTCCCTCTTTCCAGCTGCAGCTTGGTGCATACTCACCACCGGAAAGCATCTGGGCACATTTGCACATGCAGTTGTCGTTATCGGAGTCCCGAGTGCTGAACGAGGTCCCTTGGAGGGGAAGACCACTTTGCTCGCCCGCTGAGCCCTTGTAACCTTTCAGAAAGAGCCTGGAACAACAGGGTCAGGGTTGTTAAACAGGGTTAAATCCTGCCCACCCTCCTCCCCACATCTGGCACCCTAAACCTGGACTCCCTTGTGCTGAGCTACGGTAAAACATGCTCTGGGCACCTCATTCTCCAGCCACGTCTTCCTAATGTTGACTTGTCAACCCTTACAGTCAAGGGTTGGTCCAAAAAGGACTACAGGGTGTGGTCCAAAAAGTCAAGACATTCACCACGATGGGGCCATTGATGCCCCACCTCATTTTTACGGGCATCACACTCGTTGCATATAAAAAATGGGTGGGATTTCAATTGCACTATCCTGGCACCACCTTGACTTTGTCTTGACCGTAGCCTGCTGGCAATCATCTTTTCCATCTCTATCCAACACCAGCCAAGGACCAGGTGAGGGGAGAGTATTGTCCGGGGGCGATTGTGTTGAGGTCATTTAGGATTCAAGTCCATCTAAAAGTGAAGCTAAATCCAGTGCCCAGAGGGGGAAATGGCTGGTTCCAGGGTATCTGGAAAGAAACTTCATCTTTGGCATAAGTAATCATAAATCCACATGGGTTAGAGGGGTCTCTATGTTCTGTAAATAGGGACTGTAACCAATAGCAGAGAATATATGTGGCTTGGGGTTGAACTGTTAGATTCTTAGTCCTGTAGACCAGTGTTTCTCAACCTTTGCGACATTCAGAAAAGGGGGGGTAGGCACCCACCACCCGCGTTATCTGTAGGGGCTTTGGCGCGCGGGT